AGGTCATGTTACAAAGGCAAACAGAATTTGAAGGTAGGTGATGAGGCCTACCAACTTGCTTTGAAATGGCCAAAGGAAGTTCAGTGTGGAAATTAAGCATTTTTCAATATGGACTTCTAAAAAGTACTTAAGGTATTCAATATGGTGTTTGGGGAATTAAATACCAATTCAACCAAGTCTCTAAATCAACCCATATTTCTGAAAACAAAATTCATCTCTATGCCTGAATGTTGTCATTAGCTACCTCTATACTCTGCAATTCCCTGGGGCACACAATATACTGGAAGAATTGCTGGGAAAGCTGGTGGTTCTACAGAAAAGTTGAACAGTGGAACAATATTTAGTCAGCTAGGCTAACAATGGGAAGAGCCAGATTAAAATGCCTATTTGTATCAACTTCAGGAATTTACCAAATATCGGGGAAAGCTGCTATATTTCAAAACAGAGAAGTTCAGAAATAGATAATAGTTAAGGATAGCTAAAGAAAAACTCAACATCATTATAGAAAACCAAATCTCAAGGATCTTTTCAATCTATAGGTGATACTGGAAAGTTTAGGTAAGAATTACAGACTGCATAACCCTATCTATTATGCAACTGCTGAGTCAGTGACCCTGAATTCAAAAAATGCCTGAAGTCTGGTAAGCCTCCACCCTTTGATAGAATGCCTGAAGGATGAGAGGGTGTGATTCATGTGAGCTAGCAATTTTTTCCAGCAGTAACTAATCTATGTAGCCATTATTCCATGGTACATTATATAGTATGGGATGTTGCAACATGCTGGTAACTGCTAAGTGGTATCGGGTAGCACAAAACCTAATGCATCTTATCTAATACTCATAGGAGAGACCCAAGAATAACTTGTTCTCTTGTCATTTTCAGAATCAGAGGCTACAAAATACATCCACCTTCATTCCACATGTCCATGATTCAGTATCATTCAATAAAGTGGCATTAATGACATACAATTATCCTGAAATAGCTACAGGCTAGCATTTGGGTGTGTTACACAATCATTAATTAAGAAACTTAGTAGCACTCTCACCTGATCATTTCCTTTTAGTTTCTCAGCTATTGTCAGGTGATATAGGAGAGAGCTATAATCTGTTGCCTAGTGCAACACCTAATTTCCCTTTGAACTCCTGTAAAAATAGGTCCTTGCTCAATTGCCTTGACTAAAGACATCTTTCTTTTCATGTGAAGGAGACCTTTGGTCCCTTCTGAATAGGAGGCTGCAAGATTTCTTGATCTCTGATTGTCTCTTTTACCTTTGCAGGGTTCTTGAGATGTACGAATATGACATATTTTATAACAAAGGGGGGAAATTCATCCTCTGTTGCAATGTGACCAAGTAGATGCATCAAATAATGAATTACATGAATTTATTTGCAAAGATGACCACGGTGTTTACAGTACTCAGATTAGTCAGTGGTCTGATTGTGTAAAAAATAGTTTCTTGTGTTAATCTAGGTTATCATACATTATAATATTAGCTGTGCTTGTGTTATTTCTCTGTAATATATATCGGTATATGCATAATTTTGTATTTATTTTGTCATGTTTATGTAGTGTATATTGGAGGGAGACCCTTTGAGAGCTGTATGCAATGAAATTTCATTTTAATGTATGCCAATTAGTGTACATTCAAAGTGACAATAAAGTTATTCTAAGTCTAAGAAATATTTTGCTGCAGCAAAGTTGACTTTACATTTGAACATTCTTTCTGCAGTTTATAGGAATTGCGGTTCAAAAATCACTGGAAAAGTACCATACTGGGGAAAGACTGTCTTTGAAAATTTCTCTTCTTGAGTGCTATCCAGGAGACAGAAAGAGTTATGTGTCTTTCTCAGTGAAGTATTGCCAGCTTTCTACTCAACACTGTGCAAGGAACTTTTTTAAAAAAAAAAAAAAGACTAGAATATCCTGTTCCAGTACAAGCCTCTCAGGGTTCACAGAATATGACCTATCCAAGAGTTCAGGTTTGAAAAGCCAATAGCTGCTGTAACCCCACTGGTCCCTGATTATTAGAAGCATTTATTCTGATCTGAAGAGGCAGCAATTAAAAAAAAAAGCCATGTAGAAGATCTTGATTCCTGTCTGCCTTATAGCTGCTTCTTCCAAAATATTTCTACTGCTGGCAGCTGATCTTCATAGCCATAATGTCTGCTCATGAACTGAAACATTATGCACACAAACCCCACTCCCTCATTCTACAATCTTGACCTGTGGAATTTTTACCTCTTACATTTGTTAGCCAATGGGGTAGAAGTCTTTCTTACAATAGCATGCACTTTGTTCCAATGCAAGCTATGAAACAGCATTCTATCTGGCTTCTTTTCTCATTACATTTTCCCAGACTACCGTACAAGGCAAAATGTAAGTGGTTTTTCCCAGACTACCATACAAGGCAAAACACAGTGTGCTATCACATTGACATTGATTAAATTACCTTTCTGCAGGACAATTTGTGATGGATGATGGAACTATTAGCATATTTTCCCCATCCTCCTTCCCTAGCAGTCCATTTTCATCTGAAAGAAACATAACAAATCCAGCTTCTGGTAGTTTTCATTACTATTGGGAATAGTCTTTCCTGATCAATACTATAAATGGGTCTTTTATCTTCGGTGATCTGTATGTAGCAGTGTAATCGGTGCATGTAGAATCGGTGATTCTGCTGCAGCAGAATAGCAGATAGAATACCTGTGCAGCTTGCTTGTATTGTAATTGTGATGCAATCATCATTGGGCTTCCCATATTGTTTCTGCTCTTTTCTTTGTTTGCTGAATGATTTTGAGGAAAGAAACACTCTGATGGAGGAGGGTGTGTGTCTGTGAGTGTGTGCGTAAATAAGCCAAAAGTCCTCAAAACTAGGGCACTGTCAGAAGTAATTCTGCTGTTGGAAGTGATAAATTGGATAAGCAATCCTGCACTAGTTAGTATGAGCATGTTAGAGCACATATTCTGATGGCACGATCTGAAGGTCAATAGTGAAATATGGTATAATTTAATTAAAAGAACAACAACCATAAAACTGTCAGACAAGAGTGGGCTTCTGATTTTCTGATAGTCATTTAGGATTTAACAGGAACATGTTGAATTCTGTTCCATGGAATAGTAAACATTCCCTACCATCACCATCACCCCAAAAAAGAATCAAGAGATGATACAGTAGTAATCACAACACTTCCCATGAACCCAGCTGTTCTTTTTCTATCAGCTGCATGATGGCTACCTTTTGAATTGTAGTAGAATCAGTGTAGAAATGACTGTATTAAAATGCATATTTGTGGAGTCTGGGAACTAGCCTTTAGGGTGGGGGGAAAATCCAATTAAACCTCAAATCTTATGATTACTTGTTTTAGTACAATGGCACACCCAAGGAAGAAACCTATACATATAAGAACTATTTTAAGGGATCAAATTGTGTTGTCATTAATTTATTACCTACTTTTCTACATTTGAACTTGCTTCCCCCTCCCAAAAAAAGCTTCCCGTTTAGACAGTGTTGATAACTTCCCTTTTAAACATTTGAATTTTTCTTGCCTAGGGATGTTAACTAGACAGTTTGGTCCATTTGTATTAAAAATCCTGTCACTCAAGCACCTAATGAAGAATTTAATTTCTGTTAATTCCTTTTTATTGGCACCTTATGTGTATAATGGTGGATTATGGATGATTTCCCCCCAAATGTTAGTGTACAAATATACCTATTTAGTTTAGTAGAGCTGTGAGCACTAAGTTGTACTGCTGTATTTCAATCCATTTCTAAAAACTATAATCAGTGGGTTTAGGATTTTAGCTGATATTTTTAACTGGCAAAGTCTTTTTAATTATGCTAATTATCTTAACTGTGTACCATATCAGCAAAATTTAAAAGCAGGAGGCGAGGGGAGTTAAAATATTCTTACTAAGCATTCATATTTTGTCCATACAGCATACATTGGAAGCAGGATCAAATTTGTCAACATTTTATTATTAAAAAAAACCCTCATTCTGCTGAAAGATAATTTTGGAGAATTTGTACTTGTCTAACTTATATTTCCAAATACATTATATTTCTTACAAGTTTTAATTTAACTTGTATTGTTTAGAGCAAATTCCTCAACATATCAAAGCACTAAGAGAGATCAATCCTGTATGAAATTATAGTGAACTCCTGTCTTATAGTTATTGTAATTGGTCTCATTTTTAAACTATTTCTTGAAATAATACCACTTTTTAAAGACACCATGATATGTTCCGATTACTCCTTTGATATTTCTCATTTTAATGATGAATTATTGTCAGACTCAGCTGTTGTCTAATTTAGATAGTAACACCATGCCCATTCTTACCAAATCTGTAGGCATTTTTCCAACTCAAAATGCCTTCCCAGCTGCTTTTTTCCCCACAAAAGGTTTATTTGGTGTAACAAATAAACTGTTGGAAAGAGAGGTGATTAAATAGTTACAGATGGAAGCTGCTTGAAGACCAGCAGTAATGAGAGAAGAGTCCTCTTGCTTTTATTTAAAAGCCAACAAAGTTCCATTGCATGGATCTATGTATAATATTTTCTTAAATTGTAATTTCTTTATGTCATCAGCATAATATAATTTCTTTGATCCATTTGGAATATTATGGGCACTCTTACAAAATGAATGAGATGATGGATTTGATCAAAACACCTGTGAACCCTGGAAGATTTATTTTTAAATATTCATTAAAAAACTAAAATTAGGACAAGAAACATGGTGTGTATCACAGAAATATGCTGGCAGGAACATTAATCATCTCTGCCTTCTCTGTTGGTGACCCAAATGATAGAAGACAGGAACATATAATGCTGAAAGCATGCTATTCAGTCAATTGAACATCTCCTAGATATAATTTTGGATCTGGGTACTCTGCAGAAACTACTATTTAGTATGAGCCTGTAGTTAATCTAGAAATTTCAGAGAACTTGATTCACCTGTTTTTTTTTTCTCTCTCTCTCTCTCTCTTCCCCCCCTCCCCCCCAGATTGTCCAGGGCCTAATAATTGGAAGATTAACCAGTCGGTATACTGAGCGGTCTTTGCTTATGCTGAGTGTTATTGTTTTATGTGGCGTTGGCATTGCTATGGTAAGATTCAACACAATTTTATACTGCTTTGGATTACAAAATGCTGGAATAATGTCCACTGCAGATTATGCAGTTGAATCTCAGGAAGGAAATGGGAAGTAACGAAAAATTATATCTGTAAATCCATTCATATGGACAGCAATAATCAAGGATATAGTGAAAATGTACACTGTTTTCCAGAAATTCAAATGCCGTCTGGCCGAAATGGCTCATCACTTGGGATCATATATTTAAAATTAAAGGGCCCCTTTCATCAGGCTTACCTAGGACCAAGAGTTTCTATTAACACGAGTTCTTAAATTTTAACAATAACACCAGGGCTGATCACAACATGATATTAAAATGTGAGCAAAATAAGCTTCAATTCGGAGAACAATGTAAAGTTTAGTACAGGTGGTCTTTGACATGCAACAGTTCATTTAGTGACTGTTCAAAGTTACAACGGCACTGAAAAAAGTGACTTATCACGTCTTTTACATTTACGGACATTGCAGCATCTCCATGGTCACGTGATCAAAATTAAAATGTTTGGCAACTGATTCATATTTATGACGGCTGCAGTGTCCCGGGGGTCATGTGTTCACCTTTTATGACCTTCTGACAAGCAAAGTCAATGGGGAACCCAGATTCCCTCAACAACTATGTTACAAACCTAATAATTGCAGTGATTCACTTAACAACGGTGGCAAGAAAGGTTGTAAAATGGGGAAAAACTCACTTAACAAATGCCTTGCTCAGCAACATAAATGTTGGGCTCAATTGTGTTCATAAGTCGAGAACCACCTATACATTGAGAGACACAGCCACATACACACCCAGCACACAGGTGAAATTCACTTATCTTTCCCTAAGGTAAAAGGTAAGGTATAGGTTACCCTCGCACATATGTGCTAGTCATTCCCAACTCTAGGGGCCGGTGCTCATCTCTGTTTCAAAGCCGAAGAGCCAGCGCTGTCCGAAGACGTCTCCGTGATCATGTGGCCAGCATAACTAAATGCCAAAGGTGGTCCCTATTTTTCTACTTGCATTTTTTACGTGCTTTCAAACTGCTAGGTTGACAGAAGCTGGGACAAGTAACAGGAGCTCACCCCATTACGCGGCACTAGGGATTCGAACCGCTGAACTGCTGACCTTTCGATCCACAAGCTCAGCATCTTAGCCACTGAGCCACTGAGTCCCTATTGAACCACTGTGTCTCTATTATCTTTCCCCACTGGCTCGCAAATGTGAACGTCTGCCTTCTGCGCATGCGCAGAGGGTCAAAAACGGGATGTGAGAGGTCCGGGCGGGTGGGCAGAGCGTCCTGCTGCTGGCACTACCGGATCGCGCAATCCGGATAGATCCGGCTAAATCTAACTTTTGATGCATCTCGGAAAAAAAGCTTCCTCTGGGAAATAGACCATACAAACCTTAAAAGAAAGAGACCAGAAACAGATTCCCATAATTACTATTGACAGAAAAGTGAGGCTGTTGTCCTTTTTGCAAATAAAACTTTTTGAAAGCTCTGAGTTTAAGCATCCAATAAGAAAATATCTCTCTCTTTGCCTTTGAAGGAAAAAAGAGATCTTTTGATACAACTTGAACGGACCCCCAGGAACATCCATGCCCCAAAGAAATGTGCAGCTGATAAAGTTAGCTGATAAAAAAAAAGATTTATATACGGAAGACATTTAACAAAGATCTCAAGTTACACTTCCCTCATCCGCCCCCGTAGAATCACTTCCCCTCAGTGGCCTCCAAAATATGCAGGGCTGAAATTAACTGAGGCCAGCTGTGCTGAAAAGGAGCCCTGAAAAAGTTTAGGTAACAGATGAAGGGAAAAAAATGAGGGGAAATGGAGAGCAGTAAACAAGATGCCCCAGATCTCAAGCTGGGGCCAGACAGAGTTCAGCCCGATCATTTTTCAGAGGAGGCATCTTGGAAATAAACGATGGTCTTGGAGCGGAAGCATAGCCCAGTAATAGAACAGCTAGAGAAAATTGAGGCTCACTTCCATTTCATTCTTAGGTGACAGTCAACAGGAAGAATTTTCCACTTGAAAACTTAAAGAACCATTACTAGTTAGAGTAGACCAGAGGTAAACTTGTGTGATCCCTCAATGATGCTCCTCACTGACCCAGCTAAAATTGGCAATGGTTTCAGGAATACAAGATGTTGTACTTTGACTGCTTCTGAATGGCCCCAAGTGTCACATCCCTAGGAACTAACTAGTCTGGCAGAATCATTATGCAAAAGTCTCCTAAACTGAGAATGTTTTAAATTGTCCTCTACGTTTTCATTAATATTTAAAAAGCACCATTCAAATTTATTTTGGGGAGTGCTCTAGCATGAGAGAATATGCCTTTGTGTGAAATGAAAACATCAAGCATTCTCTTTGAGTTTAGTGGGCTGATATTGGATTTTTCTCACCACTCCAAGATCTTGAACAATGTATATTGTAAGTACAGAGAAAAGGAAGACTGGAGGCAGAGCATTACTTCATTTCCAGGAAATTTAAAAGATAAATTTATTTACAAAGCATTCTTACAGTGCTGAAGAGAAGACAAGGCAGCAGATTGGGGCTGGGCAGACAAAGCAAGACACTGAGTATGTCAACTTCAATGGTGCAATCAAACCTTCACTTATTTTAATGTGAATCTCATATTCAATTCACATAAAAATGGGTGGAGTTTTGATCACACTGTTGTGGCTGTCATCTTGACTTTTTTTTTTTTTTTGGCCATAGCCAGTGGACACTACTGATGTAAGGGCAAAGTACAGCCATTTGCTTTTTAGCTCCTTATCTGTATTTTCCCAAGCTTTTTCTAGGATCAAATACTTTTTATTCAAATAGTACAATCAAGCCGTGGTAGCGCAGTGGTTAGAGTGCAGTACTGTAGGCTACTGCTGATTGCCAGCTGACTGCAATTTCGCAGTTCGAATCTCACCAGGCTCAAGGTTGACTCAGCCTTCCATCCTTCCGAGGTCAGTAAATTGAGGACCCAGATTGTTGGGGGCAAGATGCTGACTCTATAAACCGCTTAGAGAGGGCTGTAATGCACTGTGAAGCGGTACATAAGTCTAAGTGCTATTGCTATTGCTAAGAAGCCCAAGACGCTCTAATTTATTGGGCTATTGACTTCAAATAATTTTTTTTTAATAGAGAAAAAATGGCCGGAATGGAAAGCTCATATGAACATTTTGCCACCAATCCCACAGCTTCTGGGGAGTCTTTTAAAAAAGCCCTGGTGACTTTTGCTATATTCCCCATGATTTTTGATTATTATTTCTGTGATCAATTAGCCATATTCTTGTCATCATTAACATCAGACTTTGTTTACATTCTGGGAGATGAGGGAAACCATGTCCAAACCATGGTCAGCACCTCTATGGATACTGAGTTTGCATACTTTTTTTTTTAAATCACTTATTAACTGCTTTTCAGTATTAAGAACCTTTGGAGCAAGTTTTACAGTATCAGAGGAATCTTGTTGAATTCTTTGTGAAAGAAACTTTAAATATAACTTTAAGGGATTAAAAAAACCCTCTTTTTAAAAAATAAACAGCAAAACGTGATTAGAAGGTTAATTTTGGAAAAGTACAAGCTGACTAAGAGTCCAGATGAATTTGAAATAAGGAGGGAATGCTGCTGTTTTGAATTCTTAAAAAAAAACCATAATAGGATGAGATTGAAGACTGGACACTAGCGGGAACCAGAAGGAACTAAAGATTACAATTAAAGGAGAATTTGAGTTACTAATATAGAATGGAGCACGATACTTCAACATTGAACGTGTTTGTGAACCATGAACCCAGAAATTAATTTTAAAAGTGTCTGCCATTATAGATAGGTTGTATTTAAAAGGTGTTATGGAAAAGGAACAAGTTTTACCAGACGAGACTGATCTGAAAGTGGTTTTAAAAATCTACAATAATATGAGAAAAGTTGTTACACTGGATAGACAAATGAAACCAGCTGATATTGTAATACTTAAAAAGGATATACAAACAAAAAGTGCAACCTGGATAACATCCCTATATTGGATTCACAAAAGCGACTTGTTACGGTATTGAAGAATTTTGTGAAAAATGACAAAAAATGAAAAGAAAGCAAGTTCTAGGACATTATTTGAAAGGATTAAAGCAATAATTTTCTAAAGACAAATCTTTCCCATCAATTGCTACTTGATCCTCAGAACTCAGAAAATCAAGGATTGAATTAATGACTTTCTGCCCACAAACTGGGGTGCCTACCATTAAACATCTCCCCAATCTGAAGAAATCCTAGAAAGTCATTCCAAAATCTAGACCCCATGTTTATGTGGAATTAAGATCTTAAGCATCTATGCTACAGTGGTATAGTACAAAAAGATTGTCCTTGCCATACTGTATATGCAAACTGATCTGCATAACTGAGAGACCTTTTAGCTCATTGAAGTTCAATTAAGTCACTTGAACAAGCCAAACTGGTTCCCCAAATCCTAACTTCCATGTCCCGCCTTTCATGTATTTGGAGAAGCATGATTTAATGTTAATTATCTGTGCTGATATTGCTGTGCATATCATATTAGGGAAGTATCATGATGCAAAGTTTAGCCCCAAGACAATTTTGGGAAAGGATTTTGGAGAAGAACCAAGAAAATGCCTAAATATACTGCTTCCTTTCTTGAGCTAAAGCCATGTTAGGAGAATATTTTTCTAATATACAGTGTATACACTAGGCTGATACAGCAAACTTTGAAGGTAAATGATTGAATCAGTCACGGAAAATGTGATGTTGAACAGACCCAACCCATCCTCTCAGGGCTCCATAGTGTCCTAATTCACAGGGAATCAGTTAACTTACATGATGAGTCACTCTATGGATAATTGAAAGTAGAAACTTCCTGGACTGTTAAAAGGTCCCCATTATATATGGCAATCTTTGACTCCTAGAGAACTGGAGAAATGAATATTCTGCTGCAATTTATCCTTTAGATTACAAACTCTTGGCAGGGACCTTCAAGTACTAACTGTTCTTTTCCATTAGGAACAGTCTTAATCTGCTCATCAACTGTCCATTGTGTATTTAAACTAGAAGAATCTTAATTAAATCAAAACAAAGAGTGAGCAGTGGAGCTGATCTGCTGGAAGGAAGAGGAATGCAAGTATTAGTTAATCAAGCCAGCATGTTGTAAGGATTCCATCCACAATATCTGACTATCCGAAGAACTCTGTCAGATTAGACGACATTTCTGCTGAGACTATGTGAAGATAAGAGGGAGTAATTTTTGACTATATTGTTATATAATACTGGAGGCAGAAGATGCTATAGGTAGCACCAAAATAGATTTCTTTATTGGCCAAGTGTGATTGGACACACAAGGAATTTGTATTTTGGTGCATATGCTCTCAGTGTACATAAAGAAAAATAAAATACATTCATCAAGAATCATAAGATACAACACTTAGTGATAGTCATAGGTTACTAATAAGCAATCAAATTGTACTAGGAAACAAATAAAACAATATAAATTGTAAAGACACAAGCAACATGGTTATAGTCATAAGATTGTAAAGACACAAGCAACATGGTTATAGTCATAAGTGGGAAGAGATAGATACTAGGAAGGATGAGAAGAATAATAGTAATACAGTCTTATTAAATAATTTGATAGTATTGTGGGAATTAGTTGTTTAGCAGTGTGATGGCATTCGGGAAAAAACTGTCCTTGTGTCTAGTTGCTCTGGTGTGCAGTACCCTATAGCATCATTTTGAGGGTAGATCTTGAAACAATTTATGTCCAGGATGTGAGGGGTCTGTAGATATTTTCACAGTCCTCTTTTTGACTCGTGCAGTATACTGGTCCTCAATGGAAGGCAGGTTGGTAGCAATTGTTTTTTCTGCAGTTCTAATTATCAGTTGAAGTCTGTGTTTGTCCTGTTTGGTTGCAGAGCCAAATCAGACAGTTATAGAGGTGCAGATGACAGATGCAATAATTCCTCTTAGAATTATTAATAAATTAATTAATAAAAAAAGCTTCCCCCATTAAAATTTGACAGCATCGGTTCCCCTGCTAACATCAGCAGCCTTCATCTATGAAAATAATTAAGTCAGTAGTCATGAATGGTCCAATATTGTCTATGGTACGTACTAATCCTCAGAACTGTGACTGTGGACTTTAAGACATGGATAATAGTTCCAGATCTGTTTATTTGCAAGTTGCTGGCTGCCAGATGTTGTAGCAGTGAACCATTCTGCTCCTGTGATGGTGGTTCAAGAAGCAGAAAAAGTGAGTTGTGTCAAGTCCAGATGATGTTAGGCTGTCCCAGAATCCCCGGGGGTGAAGAAACAAACATCAAATAGTTCAGTTATATCCTGCCACTAACAGGACTATATAGATGTGCCCTGCCATGAACATCTAATAATAACTGCCTAAACAAATGTCAACTAAGCTTCTTAATAGCATCCGTGGCCATTTGTTCCAGATCATCAGGACCTGATTGGTGTCTCTTTATTTCACAATTTATGAATTTATTTTACAGCTCAAAGAATATTCTGCTCGTTGGGGAAACCCATCACCCACATCCATCCCAAGTCATTTATGCAAATAGAATGGAACCAAGTACAGATAGTCCTTGATTTATGACCACAACTGAGCCCAACATTTCTGTTGCTAAATGAGACATTTGTTAAGTGACTTTTGCTCCATTTTATGATTTTTCTTGCCACAGTTGTTAAGTGAATCACTGCAGATGTTAAGTTAGTAATACAGCTGTTAAGTGAAACTAGCTTCCCCATTGACTTTACTTGTCAGAAGATCGCAAAAGGGGGATTATGTGACCCCGGAACACTGCCACTGTCATAAATATGAGTCAGTTGCCAAGTGTCTGAATTTTGATCACATGACCACGGGGATGCTGCAATAGTCATAAGTGTGTCATAAGTCACTTTTTTCAGTGCCGTTGTAACTTCGAGCAATCACTAAATGAACTGTTGTAAGTCAAGGACTACCTGTAGTTCCTGTACACCAATACGTTTTGGGACAAGTAGATTTGAAATCATTTGTGGAACAGTGGTGGGATTCAAAAATTTTTACTATTGGTTGGGTGTGGCTTGGTGGCCGTGGCAGGGGAAGGCTACTGTAAAATCTCCATTCCCTCCCCCCTCCAGGGGAAGGTTGCTGCAAAATCCCCATTTTCTCCCAATCAGCTGGGAGTCAGGAGGCAGAGAATAGATGGCGGCGGGGCCATTCAGAGGTGGTATTTACCAGTTCTCCGAACTACTCAAAATTTCCGCTACCAGTTCTCCAGAACTGGTCAGAATCTTCTGAATACCACCTCTGTTGTGGAACCTGAAAAGTTGGTAAGAAGATCTTCCTGAATATCGGTATCTCATTTTTGTGACCTATTATTCTTCTTTCTCACAGGTCCTGATGACCAACGTCTTTCATTATTGCCTCATTGTGCCCCCCATGGTGTTTTCCTTCAGCGTTATCGGTGTCATTACTGATATCATCCTGACCAAGTCAGTTCCTGTTTCCGACACAGGTAAGCCTCACTCTTTTCTCTTTCCGATTAATGCTTCCTTTTGGATGTGCTGCTTGGTTTTGGTTCACTGCTTTCCAAAAATGAGCATTGGCAACGGTCTGGTACATCATGCTCTCTCTGCCTAGGAACCTTTTAGGGCTCTGCAGGAAGCAATGCCAAGTTCCAAAGTCTCTGCAGCTCTCACATAATTGGATACAGAAGAAAAGGGTCATCTTACTGGAATTGCATATCTGCCAAGCCGGTGAATACTAGTTAGAATCAAAAGAGCGGGAGTTACCAAAAATGCCTACAAGGAAGCCAGTGACCCATATTACTTAATGACCCAGTTGTTAACGAAGAAGTAAAATCTTGCAGCATTTCCTGAGATTAATTTCCTACAGAATGTTCTTTCTGCATAGCTTTTTTCTGCCTGGACTTTGTATGCTACGTGACCCTATCAGCACTTCAAGACAGATCCCATCCCACTCCACCCCATTACACAGCCAAGCAACTCCCCTACCTAAATCCTCTTTTCTCAACTGGTATTTCCAATCAGAAGTCCTTCAGAACAGCCATTGAGATTATATGGAGGATGATGGCAGTCATCATGCATATGGGCCACGCATGGAAGGGTTAATTCTCAAAAGCTTTAGATGTCTTAGATGCTTCCTCTCCAAGGAATCCCTAACCGATATGCAAGAACAACATTCTAGCCCCCAGAGTTCCCCCAACTTTCCAGCTTTGTGGACTAGCAGGGGAGGGGGAGCGGGGATGATTCCCTGCAAACAGCGGGCAAGCGCATGCGCGAGCACAGCTCCATTTGTGCGAGCAGCAGGTATGTGCGCCTACTGCTTGTGCAAATGGAGCGTGTGTGCATGCGTTTGCCCGCTGGTCGTGCAAGTGGGAATGCACGTTCGCGGGCTCGCATACCACTTGCACAGTCCAGTTCCGAAGGGCTCAAGGCCCGGTAATGGGCTGCGGCCTGAGGGTTGGGGACCCCTGTTCTAGGGTTTAAAATATCCCTAGCTGTTGCCTAGAAAGCAATTCATGATTTTTATGATGATTGTCTATAATAATTTTCTAGTTGGTAAACTGCCCAGAGAAACTAAATAAGAATTTAAACTTCATTATCTAAGTAAATATTGGGAAGGTTGTCACTTCTCTGAATCAAATTTTAACAATAACACAGCTGAAATTAAGTTTGATATTGCTAGTCCCAGGGTTCATGGCCTGGACATTCTCTGCACTCACTCCTTATTGGGTTCTAGCCAAACCTTTTGAAATGGAGGTTGTTTGGGGAGGTTGAAAGCAGCAGCTGCAACTGGTCCAGACTGTTTCTCAAAAGAGCTTTTGTCAGGGAGACGGAGCCTGCTCAGCTTGCTTCCTTGGCCCAGAGGCAACCTGAATCACATAAGGAAGCCAGTTCAGCGGCTTATCCTGAGTCTGATTTGCGTAGATGATTATGAGTTGACAATTGAGAAGGACTGCTTACGTTGGCTTAAAAGCAGCAGAAAACTAGGAACAAGGCTTAGGAGCAGAGTATACCAGAAACAGGATTTCAAGACCTAAAGGAATAGAAGAAAGGGTGCCTCTGTGCCTGGATGCTCATAAAAGGTAAAGGTTCCCCTTGCACATATGTGCTAGTCATTCCTGACTCTAGGGGATGGTGCTCATCTCCGTTTCAAAGCCGAAGAGCCAACGCTGTCCGAAGACGTCTCCGTGGTCATGTGGCTGGCATGACTAAACGCCAAAGGCGCACAGAACGCTGTTACCTTCCCACCAAAGGTGGTCCCTATTTTTCTACTTGCATTTTTTACATGCTTTCGAACTGCTAGGTTGGCAGAAGCTGGGACAAGTAATGGGCGCTCACCCCGTTACGCAGCACTAGGGATTCGAACCACTGAACTGCCGACCTTTCGATCGACAAGCTCAGTGTCTTAGCCACTGAGCCACCGCATCCCCTTGCTCATACATATTGCCAAAATGCTCATACATATTGCCAAAATGTTCATACATATTGCCAAAAAAAAGTTTGTGAGTTTCCAGCTCATCCCCCATGTGTTATGGATATATGTGTCAAACCTTACAGCAGGAGGTGGCTGGTACTTGGGGGTATTAGATAGGGAATGACAAGTCACTGGGTAAAATATGTTTGGAATTTGTGCTATATTTAAATTTGAGGGTTTGAACTGAAGCACAGAAGAGCCTTGAATATAAGCTTGTAACTAGCCTAGTTCTTATCCTTTCAGCTCTAAAAAATAAATGATTAATTCTATCATGCAAAGAAGTGCTGGCCTTCCAAAAAAATAAATTAGGGTCTGTGTGCCGATAGACAAAATATATTAAACACGTAGACTGTTTTTACTAAATCCATACCTAGCAATTACTGCAGTGCAAGTGACTCCCAAGTTAACACAATTATTAAAAAAAGCTTCGACACCCATTTTTGGCCAGGGGTGGAACTGCATGTTACCTCAGTAACCCGTAGAGTTCCTCTATTACACCCATTGCCATTAACCGTCAGTGGAAAGCATCCCATTAAATGACTGATCCTCTTGATGAACTCTTGGTGTGCAATTATTTTCATTCTTGTTTTGCTGGTAGTGGTAGGTGGTAGTCTTCCAGCTAAGAAAATTTCCAGATAATTTAAGAAACATAAATAAGAAAAGTGCATCAAATAGATCTGTACAAGCAATACTCAAATCAAGTGAAACTCATCATAATAATGCATAACTAACACATAAAGCATAGTTTCACTGATCAGGAATGAAGCTGCAGCCCAGTCTTCTATATATTTCTCCTTTTCTAACTCTGGATACAAGAAATATGAAACATTTGCTTTCAGTAAGTGAATCATAATTCTGAGTTATATCCAAATGTGGGGCACCAACTATTATAACAAATCAGAAAGTAAAACCATAATCACATTATCTATCTATCTTGCTATCATCTATCTATCATGTCTGTCTGTCTGTCTGTCTGTCTGTCTGTCTGTCTGTCTGTCTGTCTATCTATCTATCTATCTATCTATCTATCTATCTATCTATCTATCTACCGTATCTATCATCTCCCTCTCTCTCTTTTTTTTTTAATGAGATATCCAGGGTTTTAAATTCGCACAAAATTAAAGCAAATTTAGCCACCTTTGCACATATTAAATTATTACATAGATCAGTAAAACAAATATGTGTGTGTGTGTGTGTGTGTGTGTGTGTGTATGTCTATGTAAGTTTTCACGGGTATATATGTGTGTATCGTTAATATTTCGGGTTTCTTCCCGTGTAATTGTGGATATATTTATATATATATCCTTTTAAGGATATATCCACAATTACACGGGAAGAAACCCGAAATATTAAACACACACACACACACACACACACACACACACATATATATATATATATGTTTTCTTTTCTTTTCGTAGGCCTTTATGTGTATTTCTCTTTAGCCAGGTTCTTCCTACATAAACCAAGATTTTTATGCAGCCCTAGTTCAGTGAAATCTCAATCCACTAATTTCTAGGCTTTTTTCAGGCAGCCAGCAAGCACCCTGCTGCCCATTGGGAGACTAAGGAGACTAAAATAGATCTATTTCGGACTTATTAGTCCTCATAAGTTAGCCACACCCTCATCCCATCTATCCTCCCTGTAAAGGTACAGTACTTGTTTTCTTTTCTTTTCGTAGCCCTTTATGTGTAAAGAAAACAAATACTGTACCTTTACAGGGAAGATACATGGGATGAAGGTGTGGCTAACTGATGAGGGCTTATAATCCGAAATAAATCTATTTTAGTCTCCTTAATCTCCCAATGGTCTTGCTGGCTGCCTGAAAAAAGCCTAGAAACTAGTGGATTGTGATTTCACTGAACTAGGGCTGCATAAAAATCTTGGTTTATGTAGGAAGAACTTGGCTAAATATATATATGTGTGTGTGTGTGTGTGTTTTCTGAGGTTTTCCCGGGTGTTTGTATGTAGATCTTTGGTTATTCGGGTTTTCTCCCACGTAAAATTGGAAGTGTCTTGGTGACGTTTCAACAAAGTCTTATTTGTCATCTTCAGGCTGGTGTTTTCGGCTTCGTGCTTCTAGGAGCATTGTGTGATCGCAGCTGTTTCTTCCTTTTAACTGCCAGTGGGGATATGAACTGATTGGGTGGGAGCTTGGTTGTGTTCTGATTGGATGGAGGTGTGTTCTGATTGGTTGGAGGCTTGGCTGTGCTCTGATTGGATGGGGGGTTGGCTGTGCTCTGATTGGATGGGGGTGTGTTCTGTTTGGGTAGGGGTTTGGTTGTGCAGGGGGATTTGAGCTGGTGAGCTATGTTGCTGTTGTTTGGCTTCGCGTTCGTGGTTGTGCCACATCTTCATGGTGGGTGTCAGTTTGCTTCATGTATGGATTGGAGGGGTTTAAAGTGGCTAATGATGCAGCTGTGGTCTGGCTTCTGTTTTGTGGTCATGCCTCATCATCGGTGTGAGTTTTGGTTTGCTTTTTGCGTGGATATGTGGTGGTGACATCCTGTGTGGTTTTCGTGAGTGTGGGTCTGGTGTCATTCTTTGTGTTAGGGACTCGTTTGTCAATAAGGGCGGGTTTCCAAATGGCTGGTAGGCGGGAGGTATCATCTTGTTTATTCATGCTCGGTGGGCATTTTTCTATCTCGATGGCTTCTCTGATTATTCTGTTATTAAAGTGTTCAGTTTTGGACACCAGAACTATCGCCAAAACTACATTACTCCTAGAAGCACGAAGCCGAAAACACCAGCCTGAAGATGACGAATGACACTTCGTCGAAACGTCGCCAAGACACTTCCAATTTTACTTGGGAGAAAACCCGAATAACCAAAGACCTACACACACACACACACACATATGTGGAAATCTAATGTAATGCTGATAAAGATGCAAAAGCTGTATTTAAAAACTGACTTTTTTCATGAATTATTTCAATTGTCCAAGAAATCCAGCAATGTGTAGATATAACAGTGTATTTATATACTGATTATTGAGGAAGATGTTCATTGCAACCATATCACCTAAAATGGGGCCAGCATTAGAATTGTCTTGTTCACAGAACTCTGTCAAGGAGCCAATGGAGCAATTAATGTGTTGGGGAAATACCAAAACAGTCAACTGGTCAGATTGTCAAGTGGTTAATTTTAACCAGTACACAAGATTAATTTAACTCCCACAATGAGCTGTGTTGTGGGAAGCCAACCTGTTGACCCGTATTGCTTGCCTAGTCATCTGAGAAAAAGAGGTGGAGGGTCAGGGGCTGAGAAAAGAGACCTTTCTCTTACAGAATCCACTGCCAAGATCTGATGGCACAGAACATACCTCCCAAACACTGATTGGTTATAATGGCCAAGCCTCACCTGCTGCTCCCTGCCTCACTCTGTAGGAAAGGGCTAGTGGTGGCATTATTATTGTTGTTCTTGTTACAGTTGTCAGTTCTTTAGCTGGTGTTGGCCTTCATATACATCATGTTCTTCTCAAGAACCTAGACTGTCATAATGTATCAACATAGTATATATGCAGATGCAAGGAGCATGGCCTTTTGTAATTGACAGATGGAAATTTTGTCAATCCATATTTTCCAGGTGCTGTCCAGAATTTTATAGGTATGGCACCCAAACCGGTTTATTTTAAATTTATCGGCCACCAATCCAAGTGGACTCTGGGTAGTATACAAAACTAGAACACTGTTTGGGCATACGGGGTCCCTGGGATTCCAGGCAATTCCGGGATTGTTTGCAAATATTATGTTTCCAAAATGCTTAGTCTGGGGCTGGTTGACCGGAGGAGAGGCTGATTGAATCAAGCATGTTCTAGGAATCTAGGAACAGACCCCATTTATAATCAGGGTGCATGTATTTAACTCTTAAGACACTGATCTTTTTAATCCATTGGAGCTAGAGCAGATCATAAAATGAATTTTGATCTATGCTGTTTGGTTTTTCCATTGTTTCTCATAGGTGCCATGCTTGGAATCAGTGCTTCAGTTACTCCACTGATACGGACATTTGGCCCAACAATAGGAGGATTTCTATATAGACAATTTGGGGTTTCCTCCTTTGGCTATTTACAGCTAATTGTGAATGTATCTCTGTTTTTTTATCTCTTGAAGAAGAAGATCCCTCAGAAAGAAGAAAAAACTCAATAACTAATTCCATGTATATTGTTGATATAAAGAACAAAGAAAGCGCACATTTAAAGCTTATTTTCAGTCATTTGGGGTTCTTAATATTATATTTTAAAGGAAATAGAGTAATTTATTACTCTATAGTAATTATATTCATCATAAAGGAATATTTGCATGAATTGTTGGGTAGAAAGATAAGACTAGTGGTGGACCAATGGTGAAATCCAAATTTTTTTACTACTGGTTCTATGGGCGTGGCTTGGTGGGCATGGTGTGGTTTGGTGGGCATGGTGTGGTTTGGTGGGCGTGGCAGGGGATGGATACTGCAAAATCTCCATTCCTACCCCACTTCAGGGAAAGGATACTGCAAAATCCCCATTCCCTCCCCACTCTGAGGCCAGTCAGAGGTGGTATTTGCCGGTTCTCCGAACTGCTCAACATTTCTGCTACCAGTTCTCCAGAACCTGCTGGATTTCACCCCTGTATTGGATCCAGCAAAAACCCACTGAGATTTTAACCCTTAATTTGCTGTTGCCAGAGGTGCTTCCAAGCGCAGCTAAGAAACCAGCCACAAGAACAATAGTGTTTTTCTAGACGTGTTCTACAATTCTTGGTGTTCAGAGCAAGGAAAATGCCTTGTTCCAGGCAGCAAACAAGTAGGTTGACACATTGCAGCCCCTACATGCATTTGTCAAAAGGTTACAGCATTTTTCTAGCTAAAAATAGGTATGGCTACCATTGTTCCCCTCCCTAAAAATGGCTACCATTGTTTCCTTTCCTGGCATTTTCATTTATGTTTTCTGCTATAAATTTTGCCGCCACAGAAAAGCAGCTGTAGTGCCTACGGAATCCAGGGTCCTGGTTCAACAGTGACCTTTCTCATGGTGAGACATTGTGGGCAAGATTACTGTATTTTTATTATTTATATAAACATATATAATACCAGAATCATTACTTAAAATGCAATAGTGGTAAACCATTGTTTAAAATGTCTGGGAAAATACATTTTTAAAAAAATGATAACCTTAGAATGCTGTACTTTGGAATACGGTAGACTACTATTCCAATGATAATTACAGATTTAAGACAGTTGAATTTTGGCTAGAGAAAGTACAAAGAAAAGGAAAGATTTACTTGTTCTCACAATTGCACTTTCTCATCAAGATAACAGAATAGAAGTAAAATGAAGCATGTGACTGACTATCTTAATACAAAAACAGGGAAATCACAGATACACCGAGCTACATATAAAATGCCTTTTCTTTCCTATCTAGCAAATATTGCTGTATTCTGCAGCATAATCCAATTTTTTTTGCTCCTAATGGTATTTGATGAGAGACAACTTAAATTGTTACATTGTAATAGGAGCCCAAATGGTAACTTCTATTGGATAATACTAGAATTAACAATATAAGACATTGTGAGTAACACAAGCTTAAAGACATGTTGATTTCAGCATTAAGTATGTGCTCCATGATTAATTAGGTAGAGTACATATCTCACCCAAGTTACAATTAAAAGTTCACTAAAGTGAAGCAATGAGTTTATACATAATTGCAAGCCATGATTTAAATAATCACGTTGAATAGATGAATAAGTCTAATTTATGGCCTTGGGTTGACTTGTTACATTTTGGCTTAGCATGTTGTGTGAATCTGGCCTGTGTGTATACGTCTCCTGTTTTCTCTATAAAATCCCCTTGCCATTCTACAACCATCTGCAATGCAGAGATACTGGCCTACTTACATGTTTGAAGTAAGGATGTTTTAAAAAATGTTTAAAGTACTTTCAACCTCAAAAGGCTTTGTGAACATAGATGCTATTATTAGAGGCCTTGAGTTCACTCTAGGCCTATCCCTCCTTGCCTGAATGTTACAAATTATGTATTCAAATTGCCTCTTTATAACACAAGCTGATGCTTCCTCTTGCTTACTAGAGCTAAACTTGGAAGAGTATTTGAAAAGGAAGAAACTGCTTCTGGGCAGATACAATGGCAGCTGGTGGTTACAGGTTGTCTGAGCTTTAGAATTTGAAAAGCACTACTTGAAAAGCAAGATCTGCTCAAAGAGAGCATGAATTAGAAAGTCATGAGGCCTCCTTGCAATTCTGTTGGCTGTGTGGCTGGTTAAGAAGAGCCAGTTGGCCTCACTCGTGCACCATTCTCCTTCCAACCTTGCCAGGACTACTCAACTTGATTGTTTGGGAAGGGAGGGAGAAACAGAGTTCCTCCAGGTTGCAGTATCTGGGGACTTCAGTCTACCTTCTCTTAACAAGAGGCCTGGAGTGGCTTAGAACTTCAGGACTGCCATGACAATCATTTATTTATTTATGAATCCAATTTATATGGCCACCGTTAATCCAAGAAACTCTGGATGTCAAGCAAGATAAACCAACCCCCACTCCCAAATAAACTATATCAGCTCACTAAAACCAGAAAACCACATATAAAACCTGGGGAAAGACCGAGGTCTTCACAAACTTCTGAAAGGCCAATATGATAGGGGCTGTCCATATTTCAGGAGGGAGACTGTTCCAGACAGCAGGCACCATAACAAAAAACCACGTGTCCTGAGACCCACAAAATGACGTTTTTAATTGATGGTACCAGGAGCCTGCCCACTCTGCCAGATGTGGTGGGACAAGCAGGAATCGCTAGGATGAGGTAGTCCCACAAGTAACCTGGCTCCATGCCATGTAGGGATTTAAAGGTGATGACCAGTGTTGGAAACCTAATGAGAGCCAGTGCAGTTTACAGTTATGTTACATGACTGCCCACAAATTGTACATGCCATTAAATCCTGGACCATCTGAATGGATTTGATCTAACATATTGAGGGTCAGATGTCTACAGTCATCAAGCAAAGATTTTTTGAGCAAGGAGTCCCTTACACTACAGCCTCCTTCACACCAGTAGTACTATACACTGTCTATATAGACCTGTCTCCAACATTTCTTGTCTTGGAAAGGTCACAGAGAAAATGGATATCCTATGGCTACAAAGATCTCAGAGGACTCTTGGCAGTCAAGGTCCTGATCAGGATCAGAGTAGCACAATCTTTCTGATCCTCTTCATGATTTTCAATGCCATTCAAACAGGGCATCCTTTTGGACTTAAACTTCTGCATGAAACCACCAAGGGAAGTCATTCATCAGCAAAGCGCTGATGGTACGCACTTATACATCTTCTCCCCTTGGCCAAACAGGCAGTGCAATGACAGTGCTGGCACAGTTCCAGAGGCTGTCAGGACACTGGATAGAGAGAGTGAGTCTAATTGAATCTCTCCAATATGGAATGGCTTTGGATTTGTAGATGTAATGATTCCATTTTACACCCATTCAGAGGATTGCAATTGTTTCTGGGCAGACTCTGTTCAACGTCACTCATGCCTTGGTCATCTCCCAGTTGGATTAATAATTTGATTCAAAAGCTCAAAAAAAGGAACTTTTTTCAAGTGAAGTATGCAGAATCTAACTGCAAGGCATTATCTATATAATGCATTGTTTATGTTATACACTGGTAGATTTAAAATATTGGGAAGAAATAATGGATTTTTCTGTCAGTACAGTAGATCATGGCTCAGATAGTCTTCTGACATTTTTTAAACCTAGAAAATTATTTGAGAGAGGAAACAATCTGTTTAGTAAATTTGTACTGAGATTCATAATGTCCACGCTTAAATATTATATTTCTAGCCATGGTATGCCTTATTGACACATACATGTTGTATCTTATAATTCATACTAGCAAAGTGGTTAATCGCTTGTATTTTTTTTTTTTTGTAGGCCCTCAGTGTAGGTTACATGTAGAACACAGGTTTTCACTCCTAATAAAGGGAACAGTACACAGCAGAAATACAGTAAAAAAAGCATTTTATTTGGAATGGACATATTCAAATGCTAAAAGCAATTTAAGACAAATGTTTATCAAAATAAATACAAATATAGATATTACAAATAATTTAAATGGTTTCACACCTGCAGGTGCTACATGTTACTTGCATCTCATAAATAGAAAAACAATCTTTTTTTAATGCAAAGTTGGGTGTCTTGGACATACAACCTTATTCTTTGCCTTAAGTCTTTTTTCTTTTTTTTAAAAAAAAAGTTCTTTGGTTTATAAATGCCTCTAAGGAGAAGCTTGGCCTCTTTGCTTAGCCGTCTGATCACACCTGGAAAAAATCTGGATATAGTAGTATCCTTTGTTTTCCTTCATTCGTATCCTGTCCTGGTTCAGTCCAAGACAAATGTATTTGTTATCCAGATGTATAATCTATTGAAAGAAAAAGAAAAGAAAACTGTTAGGGATACAGGAAAAATGCAAAACAGTGGTTATTTCTCCCCCTTTTTTAATCTAATGTCTGAATAGGGTTTACTAATACAGTAACTGATGACAAGCACAAGCAATATATTGCACTGGGCTTTTAAAGTGTTTAGAAATTAATTCTCACTCAAGAATAAATTCACTAGCTCCACTGCAACCTACTCCAAATTATGAATAGGAACAGATCTTAAAAGTCTGCATCTGAAAATCAAGTAGTGCAACATCACACAACACATATTCATCACAGTCAGCAGTACTGAGCCTAATAAAATTTACTTCTAGGCAAGTACAATGGCAATCCCATACACACTTCCTTAGTAGCAATACCAAGGAAGGAACAATACCAAGTTTGGGTTTAAGAGCTTTCGTGGAACCCCACAGAGATTAAGGCTGCTTGCTGCAATTGCACTGAACTTTTCAATAAGCAAATGGAGAGTAACTTATTGGAATCATTTCAAGTCTCCCAGTGACTAGGCATAATTGTGCAAAAATGTACCACTATGCAGAAAGGTTGTAAAAAAGAGGGCTATATATGTCCCCTCTTGCATTTTTAAAATAAACCCTAGAAAGATAAAAAAATATAGGAATTATATTTGCTATTTGAAAGGCACAGACTGAATGCACGAAAAGGACAATTTTGCCTGTACCATCAGCTCTCTGAGCAACATTCAAGGCAGTACTCAGCAGAGAAATTCTGGGAAGGCCAGTATTTCCTAGCTTCAGGTCTTGTCTCAGTAAACCAAG